TTTCTGAAAAGTCCATTCTCCCATTGAAACTAAGAAGATGATAGGGTTCCAACTGACCAAGTTGGACCTGATCAACTTAGGTCTGCCTTCTCGGAAGGATAAACACACTCATGTAAACATTCCATGTATAAATAATTAATTTGTTAAATAATTCTGACTATAAAAGATTATACAACCAGACCAGTTTTAAAGTTGCATATTTGATTATTTATTCTTATTTCAGTTAACAAATTATTTGTTATTATTGAAAAAGAGAATAATTTGTAATCCATGAATTTCAGGTTTACACACAATAGTAAACTAAAGATACAATGTAGATAAAGAACAGTGATAGATCTTATTGCAGCACGGAATAAAAGGTTTTATAAACATTGAAAAGATTGTAAATGGGAATGTTCTTTCCTTTCATAAATTACGAGATACATAATATACGAGGGTTGTCCTGTAAAATCGTGGACAAGTTGTCTCACATTAATAATAATAATCAATGCGTTCTGAAATTTTTACTTATTTTGTTATGTCCCAGTTTTAAAGTAGTTCTCAGACCCCAGTGTGTTGGGACCCATGTTGGTACATATTTTCTGTATAAATATAGGAAATTTCAAATAGATATATTTATAAATAAACGAATTATGAAATTATATGTAATATATTGTATCGCCCTACGGCACACGGATGATGACATCAAAGATTCTAAAACAGCATCAAGTACCTCAGTTTTTATCTTTGCACCAAAAGTAAAGTTGGACTTGTCCCACTTAAATTTCGGAATTTCATTAATGTACATACTTTAGTCTCCATAAACAATCGCGGAACCAATCTGGCACAAACTTACGATCTTCTGAGTATTTATTGGTTAAGAAAAGGACAATATTCAAATATCATCCAACTAATACATGTAATATACAATCTTATATTGACGTCAACAGTGACAGTGTCTTTAGCTATTACAATGTACGTTGTGTGTAGGTCCTGTAGTACCTAGGGACTCGAACAAGAAAGACTTTACTCAGAAAACTTCCAAATCATTTCTTAACTAAAGATGTGGCAATTTGTTTGGTGATTTTTTCCCTTCTGTCTTCATTTCAAGTTTAATACGGCGTTATTACACCATCTAAATCAAATTGAACTGATCTCCGGTGCGACGTAGCGTCACCAAACGTCACCATTTTTCGTGTGTTGTGTTTACCACTTTCCCATTTCAAATGCTCGGGAAAGTTCTAAAAATTTACAAAATGCCTTGACATTTTTTAATAAGACTACAAATTAAATAATGGAAACTTTTATTTCAAATCAATACTCCTGTATTCTCTTATAAAACCTTCGTTTTTTAGCCTTGCGCCGTAGATTCTTACCCTTTGCACATTCAAGCATTATAAAATCTTAATTTTTGTCTATATTTTATCTCAAAAAATGTAATGCACTTAAGAGAAATAAGCATTCACTGAAAATTTTAGCTTATTGCGTCCATTATTTTTCAAGGAAAACGCTTTGTCCACGATTTTTCGGGATAACCCTTCCATTACCTCCATAAAGTAAATCTTTGATAATTTATATGTTTTTCGTATTCAATATATAAAATTGCTTATCATTAACTATCGAAAAAACGACAGGTCCCTTTTGTTAGAAGATCGAATTTTACTTCTCGCATAAAAACGTACATGTACGTACTCTGCACAGTTCGAGCTTAATATTCTGAAATTGAAAATTGAATACATATTTGAACATAGGTAATGCATGTGTCTAAATTATTTCATGCATCCAACATTTATTCAAGGAACTGAAGTTGAAAATGGTATCGTTTTTGTTTGATATTTTTCCGACTATAAGTTTACAAAATATTCGCGACTATCGCCTCCATCAACTAGATGCACGACTTGTCACACATATCGAAGCAGTTTGATGATTAAGACTCATTTCCATTATTTTCTTTATATATTTCCCGGGCGCTAATTGATGGTTACATCAATGTTTTCGTGTATATTCTATATACAATGCATTTACAACTCCTGAAAAGGATCAAAATAACATTATGATCCCTGAAAACAGGGGAGGTGAGATCTGGTGAAACGGAGGCATTATCAACACAATGTACACGTTTCATCATTCATTATCGCTATTAGCTCTGCTTTTCCTAGGTAAGGGGAAGGATATGGAGATCACGAACTGTATTCAATCTCAAAATCAATAAAACAATACAAAATTAGAAACATCAAAGATTGGATCACGTACCATGGAAGAGTGAGCGAGTAATGTGTAGTCATTATTAACATAAACAATTGAAAAAGAAGTATGCCTTTCAAAATATGACCCAATTATAAGATATGTGCAAACAAGGACTTTGCATTGACAATAGAGATTCTAATTTTGTACGAGAATGTTGAAAGCCCTGTATGTTTGTCTTTGTCAGGTGATTTATCAGTTTCACTTAAAATTGACCATTCTTGCAATATGCTAATATGCACGCAATCAATATGGAGGCATTAATCGTTTGAACATGACAGGATACATAGGAAAATTGAAAATGGAAAAACACTGTAATTATGATTAACAGGCTATTCTTATACACCTGCTTCTAAAAGATTACATAATTATACAAGGGTCAATCAAAAAATACGTAGACAATGCTTCTCATCGTCATATGATTATTAAAAGATTACAGATCAACACGTTTTCGTAAACATAAACATTTATTTTGTCGAAGTGTGATGATTAAATAAAACTCATTTTAGCCAAAATTTAAATCAACATTTTTTGTTACCACGGAGCACGGTTTACCAATATTGTAACGTCAAATACAACGCTGAGAAAGTTTGTCAAAAGTATACACAATTTTGTTATTTCAAACACGGTTTGTAGCATCCTCTCCATTCAAAATACATATCCACAACACTTAACACCTAGTTTGCTAACAATTGTACAAATATAGCTTGAATTAGAATGTTATTGTTTTAATATTCTTTGATTTACCATGCAACATTATTATTCCTGCAACATTGAAGCACACATCGCGTTCGATGACGTTCGTTACTCTTTTGACGATATTTTTAACTTTAACCTGTTTCTTTGCAGACAATCCATCGTCCGATTCAAACTTGCTACCACTCAAAAATTGTATTTTCAATTTAATAAAATACACAGATTTTTTAATACATATCCTGGTTTATAGGGATTTTTTAAGCTTGTAGAGAAAGCTTCCCGAATTTAAAGTTTAATGTAATTGCTACTTGCTGCTCCGTGACGTCCTCCAACGTCATGGTTTTTTGCTTTTCTTAACCAAGTTCACATGTATTTAGAAGCTGATATCTTTTAAACGGAACGAGATATTACATAACCTGATTTCATTTTAATGAATACAGCAATACTTTATTTAAACATGTAAATTTTTATTTTGTTTCAGATCCACTTATTAGAGGTATAGCTGTAAATACTACAAAGTGAAAATTAGAATTTGACTCAATTTTGACGGTGCTCCATGACCGTCAATTTTCCGTCAATTTTGCACTTCTAAATCCTTGGTAATTTTAATAAATATGAAAATACATTCCAATTTTTTTACTGAAATTATTTGAATCTGTTGTTAAAATATTTGTACAAAATTTGGATATAATATGACGTTAAATAAAAAAGTTAGGACAAAAGTCTACGAATTTTTTGAATGACCCTCGTATTTAATGCATATAGTTGAAATCTCTACATGAATAAAATATTCTAGAATGGGACGTAAAACAGCATACAATCAATTAAGCAATGCATGTTTAAAATGAGAACTAATGTATGTCTCTGTAGAATTAGACTTCTAGCCAAGTAATTTTAAATATGACTGCACAGCACAGAAAAAGTGAACGGAGCCTAATTTGTACGGGAAAACTTAACTATAACATCATACAAAAAAACGTCATACAACAATTCTTAAAAGTACCACAAAATGAGGTGATTTGCTAATTTGACCTATTGGAAACTATCATACTATATCAACACTCACTACAACATGCCGTTTTGTCTTTAGTTAAAACCCACATAACCAGTTATTAACAAGTTACAAATCACAACCCACTTGTCAATGTTGCGTCATTTTGTAAAACGTGACGTAGTTTGTATGCAGTGAAAGATAGATCAAGTAATATTTTCTCAGCGAGACTGAATATTTAATTTATTATAACGTATATTTTTATGACAGTTCATCGGAAGGTAATGTGTGGATCTTAATAAATCGATCTAGTGCAAGGTTATACACTTTATAGATCATAGTACGTTTTCACAATTCAACCCTAGAAGTATTAAGGTAATAGTATCTGATGGAATCTTGAAAATAACCTAATCATATCAATATTTCCTACCGTTGACCTGGAAAAAAACCCTCAGAATTCTGTCAATCAAATATAATTTTAACGATGATATTGCAGAATTTAGATAGGATCGCAGCACTTTTCAAAAAGTACAATGCTTATTGACAATATTTAAAAATCTAAAATTGGAATTTTAACTTCGTTTTGCCCTTGCACTAGTGAATTTATAGGTTTCTTCAATACTTCAACTAAATGTGCTAATATCACGTGACTGTCGCATCACGTGACAAGTCTTTATATAAAATATAATCGTCCATTATATGTAGTTATTAACGATAATAATACTTATCCGATATAGTGCTAAAAACAATCGCTATCCCGATTTTGAATACTTTTTATTACAAACACTGTCGATATTTCCATTGCGCATATTATCTGTACTGCATGATCGTAAAATGTTGCAGACTACGAGTTTCATTTAATTGAAGTTTCATTTGTCTACGAAATCTTTTTGGAGTTTTTTTTTAGATAAAAAGGAAAAAACCAAATTATGTAACAATGTCAGAAAATGTGAAATGCAATTGTCCTCCTGTTGCCAAATAATAATCATGATAATATCAAAGAATCAAATGTTAAAAAATTGAAAAAAAAATCAAATCATGTTTATTTAGGGCAAATTTAAGCATGGATTTCCGCACTGGTGTTCAAGAGGTGGTGCGCTGTATCTTATGTGAGACTTCCATAGCAGAGATGTACTGTGATACATGCCTCGTGAGACTGTGCACGGACTGTATCGATACACACATCCTACATGATGAGTGCAGACATCACAGAATTGTTCAATTTCAGACAAGACAATCTGCTCTTCTCCAAGCTAATTGTGCGATTCATATGGGAAAACCCTGTGACATGTTTTGCTATACGTGCAATATTCGTAGTTGTCCAAAGTGCATATTATCCAATCACCAGGGTCATAACTACTGGATTTTTCGGCAAGAACTCGGCCATAACCGTCAAACACTTTTAGTAAGCTTAGAAGAAATTTTGTTTAAGAAGATTGTTTTCATTTCATTGTTTCAATACTTTATAATTCATTTTCTATTGTAAAATCTTACATTTGTGTACCGCTTTATTTCCAGGGGCAATTTCCAAAGATTTTATGCTTTTCAAATGAAGAAATCCAACATTTTGCAGACGTCTTACTAGTCCTAGAAAACACTTTAAAAGACGCTCCCGGTGATGCCTTTGCTTGCAGAATCCTGAAATATTTGCACGTTGACGAATTTCTAAGAAAAATACAATTTTTGCAGAGCAAAGTTGTCCTAGCAGAAGCCAGTGATCTTTGTTATAGTAATACAGGCGAAGGCTTCGTTTTCGTTTGCATAAACAAAGTAGAAGTGAGACCCAGCGGCAACACGCTGCTGGTACTGCAGGTAAAGTTGATTGTTTTGCTTTGCTGCAATTCGTTTAGTCTGATGACATAGCTACCTTATTCAAGCTGCATTAAATAATTATAAACACATGCATGCATCACAAAAAGATTGCCATGGCAATGCAATAAATAGAAAACTGATTATCACTTTATTTCATGAAAGCTTGCCAATTTTTTTAAAGACTTGAAATGTTCATTTAAATAGTTAAGATGATATTGAATACTTACCTTTTAATGTATGAATAAAATATTTATATAAGGAACAGTTATCAATGTATGAGTACATATGAATATGAACAAAATTGAAATTTAATTGTCTTGTTGAAAAACAATCCTATATCGAGTTCTAATTGTACGTATTATTGCTTAATCTTATCTTAACTTAGCAGTCACGGAATTCGACTGCAGCTAAATATTGTTACGCGCGTGAACTAATTTAATGGAATCCTGAAATTTGATTTTCTTACTTTTAATAAGATTTGGACAGATTTAAATGGGTAGATGTTCGCAAGTTTTATAGGAAGAATTTTATAAATTTTATAGTGTCAGTGTCAAAGTGAAGGCATGGTGTCAAAACCACACACATCTTATAGACAAAGATAACGAAAGTCTCAAAAAGATTTTATGAATACATTTTTTTCTTCTTTTTTAGCCTGAAACACCTTTAGATCAGTTTACGAGCATATGCCATTTGCCGAAAGCTTTTCTTGTGTCGAGTAATTCTGAAAGCATCGAAAATTCAAAACTGTCCGTCTACAGGGAATACAGAGATATATTTGAAGATAGATATACCAGAATCTATCACGAGCTCGACTCTCCTAAGGAATTTCTTTTCTTCAGTGCAAAATATACAATCGATACCTTAACTAACTTGTTGGTAAAGGTAATCAGAACAGAATATGATATAGCCGTTATAGTGGAAAATACTGCAAATGAAGTTTTCACTAGAGAGGAAATTTTAAGAAGAAGTCGAAATATTAAAATTAATTTTGGATCCATTTATGAAAGGAGGTTTTCTTCCCATGTTCGGGAAAGAGTTCAACAAACTGAAAACCTCTCAGGGGTATCTGAATACGTAAGAGAAGATTTGAGGGATGATGCTTTGGGGTATCTGAAGGAAATGCTGGATATTGAACTTACGAGGGAGATAAAAGAAATTTACTTACAGGAAATTTTTACAAACCGAGTCAGGCGTGATACTCTAGGCTTTCTTGGAATAGCAACTCAATTTTTTATAAGACAATTGGCGCCTATAATTTGGATCCTTTTGACCATTTTCACTTTCGGAGGTTATCTGTTTACCATTTTTAGAGAACCTAAAATCAATTCCTCTCAATGGCGGGTCCAAATTTCAGAGACATTATATAAAAAAATATTAGATAAAAAAGATTATATTGTGTGGAGGGCTGCCAAAAACATAAAGGACATTTGCGATCAGACTTTTGCCGAATTGATGGTGATCATTAGTATGCTCAAAGGTGTGAAAAGTAAAATTCCATTAGATGATCAAAATGAGAGTAAGTGAATTTGGAAAATTACACAGTTTGCAAATATTAGACATTTGAGTATGTCAAAATTCCAAATTAAATGAAGTAGATAGATGAAAATTTATTTCACGACTTAAGGTCTTTGTTTTCTTTAAGTAATATGAGTAAATATGTTGATCTTTATCAATTTAGTTTTTAATGAATGGATGCTTGGAGGCTCACAAGAACGTGATAATCGTACAACGATTCTTTACACCAGAAGTCAAATCTGAATTAATGCGGCTTCAACAGACATAATGATACATGCAGGTAGGACTGTTTAAAAACATTTTTGAGTGTATCTTATCAAACCCAATTTTCCATAATGCCAGTTGATAGGACAAGAATATCAGCAGTCTCGTTTAAAGTCATCATTTCGTACGTTCTATGGTCCATACAATGACCTTTTCAGCAAATACAATTTATCATTTAGTCAAATGCTGACTGACGTTTTTCATACCAATTGTTAGTCCATTATTTATACACTGAATTGACGACGGATTTTTCCGTGATTTCATGATCATGACAACGAGCACACAGCGGGTGTGGCCGGTCGGCAGGGGATGCTCACTCCTCCATGGCATTTGATCCCACCTGTGATGTTTCGGAGGTCCGTGTTTGCTCTGCTCCTATTTTGTATTTTTTATTTACTTTGAAAATGATTAAAGTTTGCTATCTCTATTTCCTTCTTTAATGTGTAAAGTAAAAAATGCTTATATGTGTTTCATACATAATTAAAGGTCACAATCATTCCTCATCATTTTTTTTTAAATTTCTTTAGATGAAGATAATATATCAGGTATTAATGAAAAGGTAATTGGAGAGAAAATTAAAGCCAGGCGACTTCTTAAAGCATCATCTTTTTTATTTGATATTGTACTGTTTTCAAAGACATATAATATAACACGATTTTTTTCTTCACATTTCAATTGTCAAATAACTCATATTCACTGATCCAAGCAAGGTTAAATGACACGTTGATTTATAAACTTTGATTTTAAAAATTGAATTTTTTTAAGAATAATAAACAAGACGGTATTTAGTAATGTATTTCGTTAGATGTAGTATAAATCACATTTTTGCACTTAGCTTCAGAAATTGGATGACACCTTAGCTACGGATCGTTGTTTACTCCTGGTTTTCATCCCCTAGATTAAAGAGTCAAGATGTAACCCGAACGTCGATATCGTCATTTCTAAAAAGAAAACACTGATCTGATTTGATAGCCAGATTGATAGATATTTATTTGGCATACTATCCTGAAAGGAAAAAGAAACGCATATTTTACTTTTAAACTAAATTAAAACTATTATTTCGAAAATGTTTTCCAGTATTTTTATCAAACAATTTAATTCATCTTTAATCTACAAGTTACCAAAATCTTGTGTGACTTTGACTGATAATTCCTGAGTTATTGAAATCGATATACAGTGTATAACATTTTTGAATACATTTTCTATTATATCACAAATGTAATAAGTTTCGCTATAAACCCTGAAAAATGCCGAGTCACACCGGAAACAGTTATGTCCGGCCGGAAACAGTTATGTCAACCCTCGCCGGAAAAGTTATGTCACTATTTCGATCACGCTCGCGTGTTTTTACGTTACGCATTTTTGCTCGGGTTCGAGATGTTATAACGTCGGTTGCTAAGCAAATGTTAACAACGTAACGTTATTCTTAACGTCAAGAAAGCAAATTTCGAAATTTTGGAAAATTTCAACGATTTTAAATGATTTATTTTTTTATTTTAAAAATGTCATATAACATATACCACATGGCTTTCGGTGACAGGAAAGCCCTTGAGTGTTATGTCACCCTCTGCCTTCAGCATCGGGTGACATAACACTCCAGGGCTCTCCTGTCACCTCGGGGCAAATATTCTGGTATGTCACCCTCGAAGCCATGTGATATATGTATGATGTCGATACCCCCCAAATCAAAATCAAAATTCTCATAATCTCCCTTGCACATTCGTAGCAGCCTTGATTTTCCTGTGCATTGAGTTCACCAGAGCATTTATCTTTCTCATTTGATTATTATTCAACTCTTCCGACAATAGTCTTAAAGGTTGATAGAAGCTGTATTATTCCAAAGCCGACAAATTCCCCCGCCAAATGAGTGCCACGAATTTTCATTTTAGGGTGGAATTTACAGAATTCAGCTGGTTTGGTACACGTGAATGTTTGTGAGAAAGTCTCTATAAACACTGGATACATTTTCTTGTTGCCTTTTTATTCACTTATGCAGTTCAATTACTGAAACCATTGTAACTTCCGTCAGCCATACCATGATTACACAAAATTTATACTGATTTCAAATGCGGAAAACTATGTCTATAACTCCAGTGCATCAACTAGCACCACATAATGTGATCATAAAACTGTCATCATCAACATGCACGTGTTTTTGGCTTTTTATCTTTTTCCCTACGTGACGCCATACATTTCATGGTTGAGTAATTTTGACCAAATACACATTTGACCAATTTTCATAATTTTCGGCCATATAGTTAAATATATTTCGCTATTGTGTTAATATGCGTTTCTTTTTCCTTTTCGTATACATATACATATTAAGTTGTTACAATGAAATTTTAACAATATAATTTTATGATATGCATAAATGTATGGCACTAAATCATTGTCTGTTTAGGGACCTAATTTGGGGAATATTATGTTTTTGTTTGTTTTGTTTGTTAATAAGTAAAATGAGAGCATATTATTTTTATTAATGAAGGTTTATTTTGTAAAATGATTTCAATTGATTATTGAGAAAGCTTTAGAAATGACATTTACAGATGCTTTTCATCTTTATGTTAAATTACAATTACTTTTTTTTTTTGATAAAGTAATTAAGAATAGTTGAAATAATTACAGGAGAGAGTGGGAGAGTTTTGGTTAGTTAATATGATGTCATATTTTTTGTTTGGGATGCAAAATATGTAAATAAATTTACAGAAAGGTTTCATTTTTATGCATTTTTTTATCTTCACTAGATAATAAATAATGTCCATAGATCAAATAGATGTTGTATCATGAAAAATTTCAAAACTGCACAATAACATCTTCTCAAGTCTTAGTAAGCCCCACCTCCTTTTGAAAAAAGGGAAAACAATTTTAACAACATTTTTATTACTTTTGTAACATTAATCAGTAAAGTGAACTAAGCTGAACCCAAAAACTTTACATTTTTCATGATTTCTTTTATAAGGTCTCAATTCTTAAAAATGTGAAAGAAATATTGTCAATTTGTGATATCGGTACCAAAACTCGGGGGGGGGGGGGGTGTCTTTAGATGGCCTTTATTTTCACTTCCATGTCGGACTCCTTGCGCTTTTTTTTTCTCTATCGCGACTGTGGCACTCCGGGATCGAGTACTTTTCTGGAAAGAGCCAAGTATGTTAGTAAGAAAAATCGGCCTTTCTTTGAAAATTGAAAATAATTATATAAATATGACTTCAGGATGTACACTTCATAAATATATTAACAATTTCCATCTATCTTTTATAGTTAAGTTGAAATGACCCTCTGAAGATGGGGTTTATTTTATTGCATTTTACTGATTTGATCACTGTGACGTCATTTTTACCAACAATTAAGAACATTTTAATAACAAGTTTAATGTTTCAATATATGTTAGAGGAAAAAAAATGATATTTAACTGTTTAAATTACATTGTTTGTTTACTTTAAAAATAATATTGCACAAAAAGAATGTTTTAAAGAACAAATGACTCTCAATATCTTTGTATATCTGAATATCATAATTGCAGTCAATTCTGTGCATAATTTGCAGTCTATTTTTCTCCTCAAATCAATTAATTTTTTTCAGTAATGTTTAAATCATAGATCATGATTGATAGAAGATCCTTAAAATGTAGTTTTTAAAGGATGATTAAAAATAAATGAGGCAATATTACTTTCTTAAGCATTTATTTTGACCTTTTTGCACTTTAGTTAAAAATACAATGTTACAAAGCAAAAAATCACCCTTTTGAGGTAAAATAATATAATTTAAAACAGTATTAGGTACTCTTCGTTCAAAAGATAACGACGTACAGCAAAATTAAAAATAAAGAAATTATATGAGCAGGATATTATGATATCAATCACAATTAAGCAGTTTCATTTGGTTTATTATTTCTTTGCACATTAACTTGATCTTTGAATGTGCACCACTGACAAAGAATTAATTCAAACATGTTCCCAACAGGAAACTTGCAAAGCTGTACAAAACAAATGACATAAATTCGCATAAAGATACTATTTTATTTCTATTGAAAAAAAATATATAATTATCTTCTAAAACTTTGTAAAATATGAGATGACTTTCTTTTGTTGTTTCATTTTAAAGATTGAAAAATGTCAAACTGTTCAAATTATAGCTGTACATACAAATCATCATTTTAAACATAAAACAAGTTCTGATCCATTAATGTGAGTTCAACTATGAAAACATCAAATACAGTAACAGTTTGCAATGTCTTTGTATTTTTTGGCACTGAAGATTTCAAATTATTACTATATTAAAACAAAACTATCAGAAAAAAGGAGATTACATGCCTATAACCGCAGCGGACATAACACTTAAACTGTTCAAAGAACTATATATGAAATTATTAACTTTTATACATTTTAATAATGGACACAAGAAAAAGTTCCAATAAACCTGTCAATCTAAATGAATAATACATAATTTGAAAATACACAATCAGTAAGTTCAAGCTTTCTTGTCTTTATTCCTCAATGGCTTCAGTTTCCCTGTCACTTTCATCAACTATCTCTGGAATGTCCGCTGCATCACATACATTGTCTAGCCAGTTCTTGCCTAATTCAAGGTTGATCACATCAGAGTATCTAGCAAAGGACAAGTACCAAATAACACTGGCAATGTGTGCACATGTTCCAACTACTTGTGCTCCTGATTTACAACGGCAATACCAAGAAGTCACGACACTATCCTCAAACCTAATCCAGCACAGATAGCATTTGCTTGAGATATGTCTACTTTGGATCTTGGCAGCAAGGAAGCCTGACTTGAAGTGATCAACCCGTATCTCAAATCCATCCTGGTTTACAGGTTCCTGGGTGTAAACTTTTGCCAATTTCATTTGATACACACCAAGAGTCAATTTCCGAATTTCTTCCTCAGTATAATTTGGAAAGTCGGTAATGGTGGTTTCCTCATCATCAATCTTCCTCCAACTATATCGCTTTTTCACTAGATTGTCTGACTCTAGCTCTGTCTGCAGCTGATTTGTCTGGGTAGAGAGGTATCGCATCTTTGTTGCAATCTGGAAATCAATCTCTTCATCTCCACTGCTTAGAGGGGGCCTAAAACATTTTTTTTCAGAATAATTACAATATATTTTTAATTGAGAAATTAAAAACTTGTTTAGGCTGTAGCAAACTTTTTAAATTCCTAACTTTAAAGCTCTAACTTTTACCAATCAAAAGTTATGGGCAAGGTTATACAGAGTTTTTGCAGACTACAATCTGACAAACAGAGCAAGACATTTGGTTTATGCCACCTAAATTAAAGAATCATTTTTAGCTCACCTGAGCCAAAGGCTCAAGTGAGCTTTTCTGATCACAATTTGTCCGTTGTCTGTCGTCGTCGTTGTTGTCGTCGTTGTCGTCGTCGTCTTCGTCGTCGTAAACTTTTCACATTTTCATCTTCCTCTCAAGAACCACTGGGCCAATTTCAACCAAACTTGGCACAAAGTATCCTTGGGTAAAGGGGATTCAAGTTTGTTCAAAAGAAGGGCCACGCTCTTTTCCAAGGGGAGATAATCATGAATTTGTTAAAAATAAATGGCATTTTTAAAAAATCTTCTTCTCCAGAACCGCTGAGCCAGGAAAGATGAAACTCCTGTGGAAGCATCCTCAGGTAGTGTAGATTCAAGTTTGTTCAAATCATGACCCCCTGGGCAAGGGTGGGGCCAAAATGGCCGACCCAAGTATTACAAAGGAATATATTGGTAAAATCTTTAAAAATCCTCTTCTCCAGAACCACTGGGCCAGGAAAGATAAAATTCATGTGGAATCATCCCGAGGTAGTGTAGATTCAAGTTTGTTCAAATTGTGACCCCGGGGGCAAGGGCGGGGCCAAAATGGCCGATCCAAGTTTTACATAGGAAGATATTGGAAAAATCTTTAAAAATCTTCTTCTCAAGAACCATTGAGACAGGAAAGATAAAACTCATGTGAAATTATCCTCAGGTAGTGTAGATTCAGGTTTGTTCAAATC